CGGGTTGTGATCTGTGAGCAAAGAAAAGGGTTGCCCATAGAGATATGGTTGTAACTTTTTCAGGGCCCACACCACGGCCAGGCACTCTTTTTCGATGGCGGCGTAGCTCACTTCTCGAGGTAACAATTTTCGGCTCAAATATGCTACGGGATGTTCTCCGCCATCTGCTCCGACCTGGCTCAGTACTGCTCCCAATCCAAACATTTAGGCGTCTGTGTGGACAAGAAAACGTTTAGTTGGATCAGGAGCAGCAAGTACAGGAGCATTGGTCAGAGCCGTCTTCAGTTGGTTAAATGCCTGTTCACACTCTGGGGCCCAGATGACTTGCCTGGGCAGGTTTTTCTTCGTCAAGTCAGTCAGGGGCTTGGCCAGGGCACTGTAATTGGGCACAAACTTCCTATAATACCCGGCGGTACCTAAGAAGGCAAGGACTTGGGTTTTAGTCCTAGGGGTGGGCCACTGGGCTACGGCTTCAATCTTTGCGGGCTCAGGCTTCTGTTGCCCGCTCCCTACTCGGTGTCCTAAGTATTGTACCTTCCCCATTCCTATGTGGCACTTGCTGGGTTTCAAGGTAAGCCCTGCCTCTCCAATCCGATCTATCACGGCCCCTATATGTTGTAGATGATCAGCCCAGGTCTGGCTGTAGATGGCAATATCATCCAGGTATGCACACGCATAATCCTGGAACCCATCCAGTAGCTGATCCACCATCCGCTGGAATGTCGCGGGGGCGTTCTTCATCCCGAATGGCATGACTCGAAATTGGTACAAGCCAAACGGGTGACAAACGCCGACTTGGGGATGGCGTCCTCGGCTAGTGGAATTTGCCAGTATCCCTTACAAAGATCTATTGTCGTGAGATACTGACCTCTGGCCATCCTATCTAGCAGTTCGTCTATCTGGGGCATCGGGTAAGCGTTCAGCCTCCGGTAGTCCACACAAAACCGGGTGGTACTTTCTTGGGAACCAGGACTACCGGCGATGCCCAGGGGCTATCAGAGTGTTCGATAACCCCCAACTGCAACATCTCCTCAATCTCTTTCCTCATATGTTCCCGTACGGATTCGGGAATCCGATATGGGGTTTGTCGCATGGGGAGCTGTCCCGGGGTTTGTACTCAGTGAGTGGCTAGTGGAGTGTACCCAGGTAAGTTAGAAAAGGTGGCGCCCTTCGCCACTATCAGTTCTTGTACCTGGGTGCGCTCTTGAGGACTTAGCCGCTCCCCCAGCTGAACCCCCTGGGAGGGCTCCTTCTGCTCCTCCTGCTCTAACAGATCTGGGAGAAGTAAGTTCTCCTGATCCTCCGAGGCGGGAGTGCAAATGGCTGCCATGTCCTCAGTTCGCTCGTGGTAGGGTTTGAGCATGTTCACATGGAGCATGCGTTGCTTCCCTACCCCGGAGCATGGGCCGATCACGTAGGTGGTATCGCATCTCTGCTCTACCACCTGGTATGGGCCCTGCCAGACGGCCTGTAGTTTGTCTGTGCGGACAGGTTTGAGGATTGACACCTTCTGCCCCACTTGAAAACTACGGTCTCTGGCCCCCCTGTCATACCAACGGCGCTGGCGTTGTTGGGCGGTCTGGAGGTTAGTGCGCACTGCCTGAGTTAATTCCTCCAGGCGATCCTGGAACGCCAGCACATATGGTACATTAGGGGTCCCATCTGCGCTACTCTCCCCCTCCCAATGCTCTCTAATGAGGTCCAACGGTCCCCGTACCCTTCTCCCAAACAACAGTTCGAACGGGGAGAAGCCGGTAGATTCTTGGGGTACCTCCCTGTAGGCAAACAACAGATGGGGAAGGAACCGTTCCCAGTCCTTATGGGTTTCTCCAAATGTACGGAGCATCTGTTTTAGGGTACCGTTGAACCTCTCACACAATCCGTTGGATTGGGGATGGTAGGCAGAGTTAATGATCGGCTTAATGCCACATTTTTTCCATAACTGCTGGGTGACCTCGGCTGTAAATTGTGTCCCCCTATCGGAAACAATTTCCTGTGGGAACCCTACTCAGGAAAAGATTTTCATCAGGGCTTCGGCCACTGTCTCCGCATGAATGTTGGTTAAGGCAATCGCCTCGGGGTACCGGGTGGCGTAGTCCACCACGGTCAGTATATACCGCTTCCCAGAGTGGCTGGGTTTTGGTAGCGGTCCCACTATATCTACGGCCACACGGCTGAACGGTTCCTCAATTATAGGTAGGGGACACAGTTGCGCCTTGTGGCGATCCCCTCTCTTACCTACCCGCTGACACACCTCACAGGAGGTACAATAGTGTCTTACATCTTTAGAAATCCCGGGCCAGAAGAAAGCGTGAGTTAAGTGATACCAGGTACGAGTCATCCCTAAATGGCCCGACAGAGGGATCATGCGCTATTCTCAGTAACTCGGGTCTGTACTTCTGGGGTACTACCAGCTGTTTAGTTTGGATGGTCACAGAGCTCCCTATCGCCCTTTCAGCTACCCGGTACAACAACTTGTTTTCCCAAATGTACCGTTCCCCCTCCCGCCCCACCTGGTCCGTGTCTACCCTATCTTGGTACACCTGCAGTGTGGGGTCTGTCTGGACCTCGGCTTCAAAAGTGGTCGGGGTGCCCCAGGTCATATGCGTCAAGAGGGGGTCATGGTTTCTTACCTGAGCCTCAGAGTGTGCTTGTGGTACCGTGGTGCGAGCCTGTAGCTGGGTAGTTACAGGATGAGCTTCTTGCGAAGGAGCCTGAGGTAGGAAGGCTGAAGTCATCTGGCCCAAGTCATTCCCCAACACAACATCTGCCGGTAACTTTTTCATTACCGCTACTTCCACAACCCCCTCCCCAGCACCCCAGTTCAAATGCACCTTGGCAGTGGGTAGACGGTACATGGCTCCGCCTGCTACCCTGACAGCCACCGATCCGCCAGTATGGGCCGTATCTGGAACCAAATGTGGAGCAACCAGGGTTAAAGTGGCTCCCGAGTCCCTCAGCCCCTGTACTTCTTTCCCCCCCCACAAACACAACTTGACGGTGATGCTGCCTGTTGTCCGTGGCTTGCACCGACATCACTTCATACAAAACCCCCAGAGGTTCCTCGGTCTGCAGGCTCACCAGCTCGGGGTTGTCGGGTTCTGCGTGGTAGTAATGAGCTGCTGCCCTTGGTGTGGAGTTCTGCCGCACTTGGTTCCACGCCTGTCTACTCCGATTCTGGGTGCACTCCCGAGACATATGCCCCCACTGACGGCAGGTATGGCATTGGATGTTTGCTCTGCCATTGTAGCGGGATGGTGGTGGGGGGTTCCCTGGTGCTGGGCGGAATGGAGCGGAGTTGGTTGGTGTGGAGGTGGTCGGGTGGTGCTGTACTGGTGGTCTCAGGGGACCCCTGTTGGTGAGCCCATGATGCCTCCTGGCATCAAAGTGTTGATCCGCCAACCGGGCGGCTTCCGTTATAGTGAGGGGTTTTCTGTCCCTTACCCATTCCTGTGCCTCTGGTAAAAGTCCGTTAAAGAACTGCTCCAGCAGAATTAGTTGGCGCAGTTCCTCCATGGTGGTGGCTTGACTGGCCTGAATCCACCCTTGTGAAGCTTGGTCAAGCTTATGTGCCCTCTCAGCGTGGGAATCTTTTTCCGGCTTCCGCAATCCCCGAAATTTACGCCGATATGCCCCCGGTGTGATGGCATACCTTTCTAGAATTGCCCGTTTTACTTTAAAGTAGTCCTTGCTGTCCTCTCTGGGAACAGCGCGATAAGCCTCTGCTGCCCGTCCTGACAACTTGCCATCCTTCTCCTCACATAATGCTTTAAATGCCTGGCAGGGTATTTTCTGTTTCACTGGAGCGCAGGATGAGTTGGTGATGGATTCTGCCCTGGATGGTGCCCCCTGGTGCTGTTGCGCCATAAAGTAGTCCTGTACGTCTGCCATCAGAACGGTCAAGATATCCAGGGGTACTGGCTGAGGTTCCAGCCGGGTTCTCAGTTCCCTCTGATATGGGGTTTCCTCCCTGGCTGGTGGGGGTGGGCTGCTGTGTGCTTGGTCGCCCTCCATCAGCTCTGCAATTAGTACTGCCTTGGATTTATTGCTAGCGCTTTTCCCTCTAGCCTCCAGCAGTTCCTTTAGCGTCTGCCTCTTTAAAGCCATGTAATCAGTCCCCAATCACTGATCTCTTTCGTCTGTTTGTTGCATACGAATTGCCATTCCCTTTTTCCGTTCGGTTGTTCCTTTCATTCGAATGCGCTGTATTCGGCTGTGGAATTGGATCCCGTCGCTACCACCAATTGTAGCGGAACGCCAATATTAAATCCACGAATTCCGCTGGTTCAGGAAGTAATCCACAGTCAAGCGCTGGAAACAACAAGGCAATATCCCAAATCTCCCAGTAACCGGACGAAACACAGTTCTGAGAGTCAACTGAGGTCTTTTAATTCAGCTTCACAATTTATACAAGTCCCCATGCAAGGGGTTTCCTGAGTCCCTTCCGAGGGACATTCCCAGAGGGGACTACATGGGGGACTTACAGTACAAAGCATTTCTCCCATCAGGCACTGCTGCACGAGAGGGATCCTCCCCCTGGAATATACCGTTAAGTGGATTATCCCTCCGTGCAGCAGAACCGACAATTTATATTAAAATACATAACTTTTCGAATATGCAGTCTATTTGCACGAATGGACGTTCGGTAGATAGCTGGGGTCTGAGCGCATCATTCGTGAGATTACCGCTCAGATCCCAGCTAAAACAACCGAACGCCGCACGAAAAACACATTTATTGAGAAACATATTAAAAAGACCGATTGCCTTCCAGGGAATGAAATACCGAACGGCCCGGAACTCCCGAACGTCCTGGAGGCTCAGCGGTGTTCGCGCCGTCGAGTAGCCGTTTTTAGTACCATGCGCTCGACGACCTAACACCGCTGAGGGAACAAAGGATCCAAGATGGCCGACCGCCGCATGGTCGGTAGTCGAACGGCAGCCACCTAGGAGAGCCTCTAATTACTGATTGCAACATTGTTGCAATTGGTTAACAAGCGCCACACGCCTCTAAGTGTGTGGGCTATTATATGTAGTGTTTTCGGTTCACGAACGGCCCGCCAAAGTGCCGTTCGTGAAACGAAAGGAAAACCCAATACAAATAGCTATCTGCATTCGGCGGATAGCAAACACAGGCAATTCAAGGTATTACAGCCAGCATACATTGTACATAGTTGAACACATATCCCCACCGACATACAGGCAACCCTTAAAGGTACAGTCTCTTGATATAGTCCAAGTGGCTAGGTTTGCCACATTGGCATACTCTTTTTACATTAAATAAAAGGTAGAAAAAGTGTTTAATTGTGTTCTATCGTGTTTATAAGCTAAATTTGCATTTTCTGTTTTTTTGTTTTTTTTCATTAGAACAACTTTCACTACCTACGGAATTTGATGGTGCTATATAAATAATAATATTAATAATAATAATTATAATAATAATAATTATAGTCATGTGACAACAGAAATTACAAAAAAAAAGCAGCTTAGCTATATTTGCTTTCTCCAAATCTTTTTTTGACAAAGATAAAAATCTTCAATAAACAAAAAGTACTAATTAGAGTAACAGAAAGGTGTGGGGGGGGCATGTCTAAAAGTTGATCTTACTATTTGTAGCTTCACAAAATTTGTTATTAATACAAAACATCATCAAGCACTTTTTATATTGGCAGACTCTTAAAAGGGGAAGTTCAAATTGTATATGCTAGATTCACGTGCGCCGTATCTGAGAAATGCATCCAGGTGTTTTTCCAGCCTAAATTTACTCTGTGGATTCTATACTTATAGGAATGAGCCCGTGTTTGAGCCTCCAGATGCAAATATAGGGTGGCTTTCGTCACATAGGTAAGCAAGGAATGTGGGACTCATGCTATGCTAGAACATGGTGTCTTTCTTTATGTTAGTCTTATCATTGTAGGCTAGTCTATATCAACATGTGCTTACCTCATATTTGAAGCAACATCCCCAAACCATACCTACCAGGTCTTAGTAGATGAGTCTATTTAGACATGGCATCCCACTTTGCCCCCTTTGACCTCATGCTGACTTAGTCCTCCTTACGCCCACACTTTGTCATGATTTAAACCTATGTACATGAGAATTGGCGTATCCACTCCTCCCATCAGCACATGAGACATCTTTTCAAACTGAGATTTTACCCTAATTTTGGGTAGGAACTGTTGTGTGGATTGGGCGTCTGTGGATTTCCACTTCCACTTCCACACATGACCTGGTGGCTTTTAAAATATGCAGCCCCAACAATGTGTTTATACTTGGTATTGGAGTCAATGTCTCTGGAGTCAATGGTGTGCTATATGATGTGTACTTGTGGACCAGAGTTTGTACATCTTTCCAGAAGCAGTGAAGTAAAGTACCCCTGTCCTGCTCGCACCTCTGACACATTGGGACAACATTTGGAAATGTTTATGTCAATCTGCAAGGGGTCAGGCACCATCTCATTGTGAAGTTACAAAGCACCTCCCAGTGGTTTAGCGGTCTAGTTGCTCTCTTAAGTTCTCGGGCCGCCATTTTTCTAACTTAATATCTTTATTTAGCTCATTCTTCTGTTCAGAAATATAAATAAATTTAGTTAGTTTCAGAGCTATGTGTAGGAGTTCATTACAAGTTGACAGCAGTTTTCCTATTATTTTACTGTATGTTCAGATCCTTACAATCGGAGATAGTGGAGTTAAGTCGTATGGAATTTCAATTGATAAGGAAAGAATATGTCTCACTCAAATATATGTAAAAATGGCTCTAGAAGGTAAGCCAAACTCTTTCCTTAATGTACTAAATGTCCTGATCCCTAAAGGGGTAAGTAATTGTGAGATAGATCTTAGAGGTGTTATGCCATTCCATTAAATGTAGGTCCTTTGTACGGCTGAAATAGGAGCAAATGTCATAGGTAAAGGTGTGTAGGTGAGAGGAGCCCCGGGGCATTTTTTCCCCATATCTGAAGGTAGTGTGTTGGCATCTGGGTAATTTGTTTTTTTTATTTGCTTGGTCCCATATGTCACAATACCCAGTGACCCAACATGCAGTTTGTTACGGTACCTCCAGTAATAAATGCACAAACCGCCATTTAGTGAATGCTCCCCGTTCGCAATAATGTGGTCTGGTAGTGTATGCAGTATAACCATGCGAACCGCCAGCCAGGGAACACTCCAAACTCCCGAACGGTACCTGTACTGCTCCTTCCCTTCACGAGCTCCAAATGCACGAATCGCCAATAGCAGCCGAACGGCAATAGTTTCCAAGCGGCAAATAATCCCAATAAGCAGTCTCTAGTCGCCGGTAATAAAATCCCCCCAATAACTAGACCAAGCTCCGCTTTGAGGGTAAAACACGAACCGAGTTTACTGTGGGCTACCTGCCCGTATTTATGCAGGTCTCCCACTTGGTGGACACTCCCCTAGGGGACCAAATGGGAGACTGGAATAACAGAAGGACATGGGGACATTTCAGACATACATCCCCACAATATTCCCAGCATGCAACACAGTTTCCTCCCCTCTGCTCGGGAGATAATTGAGAAGTAATTAAATTATCTCCCAGAGCAGAGGCAAATCGCCATTTTAAATACAAGTTACAAAACACATTAAAATACATAACTTTATAACTGTCGAACGTATTGCATTCGTATAACACATCCCCAGATAGCCTGGATCTGAGTGCATATTATTGGCGAATAGCGCTCAGATCCCACACACATAGTTCAATCACCATGGAGTCAAAGTCTATTACAGTTCTTCGGTATGCGATTGACTTCATGGGAAGGCTATCTGGGGAAAGTCCATTCGTGCCTTTAAATCTCTCGAACGGCTGGTATTCATATACTTTTGTCGACTGAGAAGGGGAGGTCGATGGCTTCAGCGGTGTTCGGTTGAAAAAGTGTCCGTTTTTAGTTCCATGGAATAACCGTCGAACACCGCTGGGCTTTCGCATAGTTAAAATGGCCGCCGCCTCGTGGTCGACATACGAACGACGACCACCCTGTATTCGGTTTTAATTGAGAAGTGTCTGTGGTTAACCGCAACGTTCTAATTGGGATTAATAGGTTAACCAGCAGCACACTTCTCTTCTGGGTGGCCGTCCGTTCGGTAGTTCCGTTTGACAAAAAAATACATTCCCTTAAACAAGGCATACGAATGGGGAAATTCATACCAACGGCAAAACAGACGAACACAGCAATTCTAGCTCATACAGATGGGTCTGTCACACAGTTTATATATGATAATAGTTTAGGCAACGTTTACCGGTCCTTAGAATGGCCGGGTTATATGTTGTTAGATAAAGAACGATCAGGGACAACCCGAGTCAGGGAAGCCAGAAATCAGGGAAGCGCAAAAAACGATAGCCGAGTTACAGGAGAACAGAACGGAGAATAGTCAGAAGGAATATAGTCAGAGAGTCAGTGGGATGAGACCAATCTCGCCACTGTGCATTGGAGGAGCCTGGTTGCCTGCCTGCTGCCTTTTGACTATGGACTAGCATTTAAATACTTTATTTTCCTATGCAGAAAGGTCAATTCATGTATTTCTGCCCTGGTGTTCGGTATATTCTTGCATTTACTAAATGAACTCATTTAACCCAGATAGCTATGCCATGGAGCCTATTCGTGTAATAAAAGACTTTGGCTCCACGGCAATTGAACTGTATGTGTGTGGTCTGAGCGCCATTCAGTAATAATGTGCGCTCAGACCTAAGCTATCTGGGGATATGTTGCATGTCTGTATTTTATGTAATAAATGTAACCTTGTGTATTTTATTGTTTTACTGTCTTTTTACTGCCATGTGCTTAATGGAGTTTTGCCTCTGTCCTTGGAGATAATTGGATTACTTCCCAATTTTCTTCAGGATAGAAGACTCTCTGGAACTGGTTTTGGGCAGAAAAGCCATGCTTCCTTTGGTCACAAAGGACTTCGATCTATCTTTTGAACCAATGGACCAATTTGGATGATTTTGACATATGTTTGTATTTGGAGTATGCTGATTCTGAAAACGTAAATGTGTGAATGTGATGCATACTTTTAAAGTTATGAATAATGTGGAAAAACTGTATTTCTCTGCCTGTGATAATTACATTAACCCATTGTGTAAGGTAATTTCTTCACAGGCAGAGGGGAGGATTTTGTGTTGGAGTGTCTGAGTGTATTGTACGTGTTTATTGGTTGTTTTACAAAACCCTAATGTGTAAGAATGTGTATATAAGAACAATAAACCCACAGCTCTGTCTGTTCACTGCTTGACCCTCAACACGGAGCCTTGTCTCGTTCTTGGGGGGACTTATTGTATGCTGTTCCAGTTCGACTGCTAGGAGTGTAAACCTATTTGTATGGTTTTTCCTATTCGGCTGTTTACAGCAATCGTATGTTTGAGAGGATTCGTATGCTTCTCCGGTTCGGTGGATTGGTGTCTACAGTAGCTGCCTGTATTTCTGGAAGGGAATATCTCCTAAACTGCTGTTAACCCCTTTTATGCCTGGGGGTGCCGTTACAGTCAGAATAGTCAGAAGGAAGCCGAGATCAAAATACCAGAAAAGACACAGAATATAATCCACTCTTGGGAACAGTAAACAGAAACCACAGCAGAGCAATGATCCTTTCCCTAAGTGCCCTTATTATATCCTATACCTTTAATGTATAGTCACTCCCCCAATACGTTCAAATTCGGACCTTTTGCAGGGCTGTGACATCATTGACGTCATTGCGAATCCAGATAAGATAATGAGATAAGAGAGACAGTGGGAAGGTTTTGACTTTGACACCATAATAACTGTTGTAGTGTATGGAGCTAGGAATTCATTCTCCAGTTGCAACTACAGAGTGATATTAGGGACTGTTGCCCATGGGCAAACAAGACTGGTAAGAAACATTCCAGTATAAGTATGAAAATTAAGGGTGACAGGGGACATCACTGTCATGTGCCATTTTTAATATTGAATGCTAATGAGAGGAAAACTGTGCAAAGAACTTGAGTGGATGGTTGTGAGTACAGGATCCCTATAACCTTAAGTATAGTTTCAGGGAATCTTAATCTCTGCTGGCTGGAAAACATGTATCACCAGTGTAGGTGGTGCTGCGTTCAGCACTAAAAGCATGCAAGAGGAGGCTGCTAACTCTATAAGAGCAGCTTGGTGTTGTCACCAGCCTGCCTACCCGGTATAAATCCCGCCTGCTCCGGGGACACCAGTAGATGTTGAAGTGGATATATTCTCATCCCAATGATTTAACATAAAGTTTAGTGGGCCTAAAATTAA